TCTGGCATTTTTACAATGCCTGAAAATGATGAATGAGTTGTAAATACAATCATCTGGAATTCTCCCGCCTGAGATGTAATACCCCAGCCTTGAGCTGTGTCTGATGCATTAAAAAAGCATTACTCTGAGCACAGCAGATAAATGCAAAACCGCTTCAGATAGCAATGACCGGCAGAGGCGAGTGCTTCGCAGTAAGTCGCTCGCCGGTAAGGGTTGAGAAACGACTTAGGCAACAACACCCCCCACCGGAAAACAATGACTGAATAAAAGAAGCACAAATTAAAAACAAAAAGTTAGCTTCTTCCCCGAAGAGAGAAGTCCGGCCGCGAGTGATTCTGGACGTGCCGGCCCCCTGTAACCCGCGACTCGCAGGCCGAGCTGTCCAGCCTCGACATCAGGCTCCCGATGTCGCCTTCCCCGGAGGTGCAGCACGTCGCGCAGCCTTAATCCGGCGATTTCTACTGTCCCTTCTTCCGCTCCTTATAGGGCTTATATGCACAAATGATCACCAGAATTCAGTTATTAGAAAAGTCTAATGAAAATATCAGATAAAATAGCGGGCGACCCCGAAACACGATCAAACGAATGTCCCTCCTGACTCTGGACACGACGGTTTGACGACACGGACCGATTATGGGTCTTTGAGTGCAAAAACGACAACGATGATGACCTTTTCTTCTTGTCTTCTGTCGAGTACAAACTTCGTATTCGACAGCAGCGTTTAGATATAACGCTTTTTTTAAAAAAAATCGTGAACGATCGGTTTAGAAATGACACCCCCGTCGCCCTGTCTACCTTCGTTAAACCACGAAAGGCGCGTCGTTCAATACGCTAGTTTGGCACAAACTGCGATGACTAACGATTTAGGGAGGAAAAATTCTTTCCTGCGTCCGGAAGAAACAAGTTTCGGAAAGGGACTAGAAACAGAAAATCTGTTTCCAAAAAAAACTCGCTTACCAACAGCTGCTCGGCCCATAATTGTTCTTACTTGGCATTCAACCGGTTTTAAAAAGCCCTGCACTTAAATTCAAATATACATTTACTGTGCCGCGCAATTCTAAAGATTTTCGCCTTCTTAAGCACAGCAAGTACCCACAAAAACAGTCAATCTGTGGAAATGTAAAAGCAGCGCGTCCTGTATTATCCACAAAAACCCCCGTTACAATGCAATTTAACAAAAGTGCCTCCGCAAATGAGCTCAGTGTCCTATGTATTGAAACACAGAATTGCAAGCACGTTTCTGTTCGCTCTTTTGGAAATGTTACTGCACAGTTACTGTTACAACTCGCTACATGTAGGCCGGAAAAAAAAAAGACAAAACCCGTAGTCGCGTGTGACTGGCCGGGGGCTACAGCGGTAAAGCCCTCTGTAATGGTGATTACTACAGCCGTCCAAACCGTTTGTGCTTGAAGCACAACCATCGGGAGGGTATAGATGCAATTAGCTATTGACCAAATAAAACACGTTTAGGTGAAAACACACAGAGGAGGTGTAGCAAACGCGCACGCAAGGGTCTCCACGTTCACACGGCGAGGAAAGCCGGCAGACGCCGAGGTGGTTTAACAGACGCCAACACGCTAGTAAGGAGCTCGTTCGGAAAGGACAACGTGAGACATTGCAAGCGAAACACAAACACCGAGAAGGTCACTCAAGCAGCGCCTTAAATCACAGCACCTGCGCTCGCTCTCTCTCTCACACACAATCGGGGCCGCGCTAATTTAAACTCGCTGACGAGCCTGCCGTAATTACACGAAGCGGCCGGGATACAGATCGATCCAGACCAGTGAAATCGCACCGTAGGCGGAAGCCCACAGAACGCGAGTTGGGCTACACGTAACACGCGATCGCTCAGACACATGTCCCCCGAAGTGAAACATTGTAACCCAGGAGCAGAAATGTCCACCTACAGTGATTGGAGCCGGTCCAGTGCTGGTTTCTGATGGAGCTGCCGTAAGGGTGGTGCGATCCGGCCACGATCGTCTTTTCCTGGATTAAACATCCTCGGTTCTGGTTGTAGTAATCCACCATTAGGAACGGGTTCGGACTGGGATTTAACCCCACCACGTCCACACTCTCATACATGATGCGTGTTGGCGACTCCAAAAAAAATAAAAATAAAAAAAAACCCGATTGAAAGTAATATCCCAACAACAACAACAAAATCTTCTCTCGGTGGCAGGAGCAACAAGAACTACTCGCACAACTTCTTCTGATTAGCTGTCAAACAACATCTTAGAGGTAGTGACTGTGGGAGATCTCCCCCCCCCACCCCACCCAGCCTTGCTGGGGGAAAAAAAAAGTTTGGCTGTACTGATGATTTGATCTTTTAGAGAGAAAAAAAACAAACAGCAAAGTTCCGTCCCAGCAAGAAGACCAATCACTGTGGTTGTAGATGAAGTAACGGGCAGTGATTTCAGTGTGGGGTCTGGGGCAGCAGCAGCAGCAAACTAAGTGGGTCTCCCCGCATGGTCCGAGAACAACTTCATTTGCGGTTTTTGTGCGTGGAAGCGCTGGCTGGAGAGGCGGCGATTCGCATGCTGGCGCGTCTCCCCCTCCGTGTGCTCCCGAGCGGGCCCCGGGCTGCGCTCCCTGCTCCAGACGGGTCCCGCGGTGCCAACTTTTCTCCCGCACCCCGCCACAAAACTGTTTATTTAAAAAAAAACTCCACGAAACTGGAGAAGGTAGGCAAGAAGGGAGGCAAAAAAAAAACTGAAGTTTTTTCTTTAAAAAAAAAAATACCGCGACACCCACACGCCAAAAAAACAGCCCAGCTACGCCGGTACAAATCCCGCACGGAACAGGCTGGCGTCGTCAGCCGCTCTCCCCGTACAGGCGCGACATCTTCACGGGCAAGGAGGAGCGCGTCCTCACCTCCACAGCGCAAACGGACCGGACCGGACCGCCCTCGTCCTCCTGCCTCGGTGGCTACAGTCTCCTCTTGCCCTGCGACGCTTGCGGTCGACACCGACTGGGGGCAGGCAGGCACTGAGGGAGGGAGGGCGATGGAGTGGAGGAGGGGGGCACTCTTTTTTCAATTTCCTTCCACCACATCGGGGGGGGGGGGGAGACCCTCCCCTCCCCAAACAAAAAATAAAATAATTTTAAATCCAGCCGAGCGCCTCGGATGTGTCGAGGCGAGAGGCGCGGAAGCTGTGTTTCGCTGGCGTCGCAGATTTCGCGTTTTTAATCCCCCCCGTTTCGCGTGACTCGATCCGTCTCCCCCCCTCCCCGACTCCGTGTTTATTGCTGTCGTGCGGGGATCTCTCTCCTCTCTCACGCCAAGGCTGTTCCCAGGCAGGGTACCCGCTTGCCCTGCGCCGCAGATTGTGACGGCAGCGAGCAACTGCGACCGGACCCCACCTACCTCCTCTCTCTCCCTCCCTCTCTCTCTCCGCTCTCTCTCCCTCCAGAGCGCCTCCCCGACTTAACCCTTTCCGGACTCCCGCAGTCACACAGCCCCAGGACCCGGGCCAAACCGCCCGCTCTCTCGGTACAAGCCGCAGTCCCAGCGGCTCGGTGGTGATGGTGGAGGGGTGTGTGTGTGTGTGGTTGAGGGAGGGGAAGAGGATTAACACTTGTCGGTTCGAAATCAAAATAGGGGAGGAGGAGGAGGTGGTGGTGGTGGTGGTCGTCTGAAACAATTTTAAAAAGCAAACTAAAACCGCGCCGCCGCAGTTTTAGGGACATAATAAACACGCACACACCCCCCTCCACCTCAACAGGAATGCCTCTCTCGTACAGCACTAAGTGACGCCTCCTCTTCCACCCACGAGCCCTGCTCCCACGCCGTGACGCGGAAGACCCCCTTTTCCCATCGTCCCCTTTTTCTCGCAGGTTTCCCGGTCTCCCCCCGGACTAATTTGCCTAATGTTATGCGGGTGAACTTTTCCTGAACCCGCGGAAGCCGGCCGCCTCACCTCCGGGTGACCCACACGCCGACTCCGGCGCGCTCCTCCGCGTTCCTGTCGCTGACGTCACTCGAGGTTCCCCCACCTGGCCGCCCGTGCGCATTGGCACGCGGAGTCCCCGAAAAGTCGCAGGTGGGAGGGAGCTGGGCTGAGAACCGCACAGCACCCAGGCCGACGTTGACCAAAACGCGCACAGTTAAATCTTTCATCTTGCATCGCGCTTCCACACAGCGGAGGCCGCGCACGATGAGCTTAAGAGCGACGGCCTTTCCCCCAGACTTTGAAAAAGTTTGCAAGTTTTCTGAATTTGCAAATAGCCACTTAAAAATAAATAAATGGTTCAGATTGAGAGTCTTTGTTCATGACAGAAAAGAAGTCACTTGTTGAAAGCATGGTCACACACACAGCCTGGCAGATCTAATACTCAAGAATATCATTAGACTGCAATTCCGTGAGGACTAATAGGATCTAGATAGATAATGCCGCACAGTGCCGTGACAGTGAATACGACAGTCACGAGCAATGCAATGGACTTGTTTAGTGCCCTGCAAATTCAGACCAGGTCAGAACAAATGGCCTGTGTCCCTCACAGAGAGCTCTACGGCTGGGGATGCACTAGTGTATTATTTATGGTACATTTTGAGGCTGTAATCAGTGCTTTTTCCCAGGGCAAAGCGGGCTGATCGGACAGCAGTCGGTCAGTCAGAGGGAACGAGGCCATCGGGAGTGGAAGCAGCCGTGTTCTGGGCAGAGACCCGGGCACCACGGGGGAAATCCCAGGAAAGCTCCCAGCGGAGCCGAGCCTCGGGCCCGGAGCCTGCCCAGCCTGCCGGGCAGTTCGGAGCTCCGAATGGAGGGCATTCCCCAGGACTCTGCAGGGGAAGGCCTGCTGGGGCCTTGGCAGCAAACTGTGACACTAATTTAACACCAGGGCTTAAACTGTTTACTTTTACTGATAAGGACAGCAGGCGGGGGGGAGGGGAGGCCGAGCTCTGTGCTCTGTGCCATTGGAGTCCATTTCAGGGGAGATTCCAGAGAAGGGACGCCAGGACCAGCGGGACCGGGCGAAGGAAGACTGCAGTGGACATGGCCAGCCCATGCAGGAACGGCTCCCTTCAGATCCCTCCGCTGCAGGGCCACGCTGACTGTGCACAAATGCGCTGGCACAGGACCCATCTGCCTTTCCTGCTTGCCAGTTAACTGCCTGATATCTGTCATTAATGCCCCGTTCTGTGCATAAGGGCCTGCTGCAACAGCACCAAAAGGTCAGGAATGACAGCCTCCCCGTTTGAAGGCTGTCTGCGATTGTGAGTAACCTCTGCATGCGGTATGAACTTGGGAAATTAACTACAACATGACTAAGTATTCCAGGTCTGGAGGAGAGTCAAAAGAAATGGGGGAGGCCTGCGTTTCCAGCACCAGGATGTTGTACTTGAGGACTTACGTCAGCCGCTGAAGAATGAGTCCCTGGAAGGACCCCAGGCGACACTGACATTCTGTACTGGGAGCCTGGTTTTGCTGGTACAGCCTTCAAATGCTCTGTCATTAAAAGACCTCAGCGCTGCCATATTGGTGAGCCAGTAATTACTTCGAGAGCCACATAATTGAGTGCCACAGCGAAGACACTGAAAAGGAGCTTGCCGGAGAGCCAGAGGTTAAGGGCATGTGGCCTGTAGGCCTGGCAGGAGCCAGCAGCTGCCCAGGAATGCCAGACCTGTGATGGGTGCCAGACTGCCCTCCGTGGGGTTGAGCGAAAGCAAGCCTGCCTGCGCACACACAGTGAGTGGCGGTGGGGCAGGACCCTGGGTCTTTGGGAGGTGAGCAGGAATAATGAAAAGCAGATAATGAGGGTTAGGTTAAGACCAGAATGGGGGGTGACTGGGGCTGGGAATTCAGGGAGGTTTATGAGAGGGCAGTGCGGAGGACATCCTGCCTGGATCTTTAGGGTGTGAAAGTATTTTTATTGCCCCCCCCTCCAATCAGAGGTGTTAGGGGGGCAATAAAGATTAGACACTGCCACCAATTTACCCCCAGCCCCCGCCAGCGAAGACAGCTGTGCCACAACACCCTATTGTTACAGCGATGCCACCCACTGCCGAGCTGTGAGCCTCTCCAAGATCTTCCGCATCACCCGTTTGCCAAACAGAGACTGAAAGTTTAATGGTGGCTTTCATGGCAAGGGGAGATGGGAAGGTCCTGGCGCAAGTGTCTCCAGCCAGTGTGCAGTCAGCAAGCATGCAAATTACCAAGCAACGGAGCTATCCTGCGTTACATCTTGCACGAGGTGAATCTGGAGTGGCCCCACCACCCTGTCGCCTTCTCTGCACCGGCGTAATACTCCCTTCTTCCTGGCGACCTGGCCCCTGTGCGAAATGCCTGCACTCCTCTGGCCTCTCAGAGCTCACTCGTTTGTTGCCTTCCAAGCTTGTCCGCCGTCATCAGTCCCAGAAGAGCTCACGTCCCGTCGGTGCCCCGCCCCCACGGGAGAGCAGCTCGTCGGTCAAGCGACAACGGGGAGAGAGTCATTCCTCCCACATCAGTCAGCCATCACTCCTCAAGGGGGCGTCTGAACGGAGCCCAGGGCTGAAGCCTGGGCAGCAGTCGGGGGGAAAGGTGCGAGCAGCACGCCAGGGCAGAGGAACTCTGGGACACAGATTCCTGAGCTCTTTTTAGATCTTAATAAGCAAAACCAACATGGCTGCCATGGCTGTGGTTCTTAGAAGCCGTAGAACTTGGGGAGGTTCCTGTGCGTCACACTACACAACGCAGCTCTCCGTATTCAGACTATCTTAGGATTGGTCTCGTCTCTGTGGCTAAGGATCTGTGCCTGGAAGGTTGCCGGTTCATATCCCGCGGCCGGCAGAGGAATCCTACTCCGTTGGGCTCCTGAACAAGGCCCTTCACCCCAGCTGCTCCAGGGGTGCTGTACAATGGCTCTGACCCCAAGCTTCTCTCCCCTTTCTGTGTATCTCACGGAGAGCAGGCTGGGGTCTGCGAAAAGATTAATTCCTAATGCAAGAAACTGTATAGGGCTAATAAAGTGATGTTGTTGTTGTTGAAGCGCTCGCACTGTGCTCCCGTGTTCAGTATAATAGTAACAATTCTATGACTGGAGCCTAGAAGCTGGAGCTGTGCTTTACGTGTTGAATTAGATCGCCAGCCAGACTTTCCGTTTAATTTTCTGGTTTCCTTACAGCCCGACAGCTGGTCGCCTCCGACATCCAGAGCGAGATAAGACCCCGGCGAAGCGGGCAACTGCTGAATCTTGCGCAAGATCTAATGAGATCAGTGCAGGGCTGCAGGGAACCGAACAGCAAGGGGGCAGCCAGCCAGGGAGCGGCCCTTATCCACGCTCGAGAGACTCTGCAGCAGGCAGGAGAGTAAACACCTTCAGCCGACTCTGTGCTCATTCCATCTGCGGTGAGCTGAAGCGTTCCAAGCAGTGCCGGATCTTATTCCCGTGATGCCACAGTAAAAAAATATATATATATATCTGCCTGCCCGCATTTCTGCTCAGCAGAATTCCAAGAATCCAGCTGGCACCTCCGCCTTCCTCATTCCACAGCGCCGAGCGACACAGCGCTCTTAAAGACACAGAGTGTGCTCACCCACGTCCACGGCTCTCCCCACCTCCCTTCCCAGCAGACGTGCGCCGATACCCCTGCTGCTGTCGATGCCGCGCGGCTGGATCTGTCTAGGTTGCCATCTTGGCATGCAAACGAGCTAAACCAACCAGCCAACAGCCTTTGCAAAGGCCACCCGGTACACTTGTAGGTGCACGGTAGAGGCTGCAATGGAGCTGAGGGCGTAGTGTGGCGCACAGGATCTTCCCCAGCTCATCTCTCTTTATTCAGACTATCTTAGGTTTGGTCTTGTCTCTGGGCCTTATGTCATTCACCCTGCCCAAAGCGCTCGCACTGTGCTCCTGTGTTCAGTATAATAAGAAGAAGAATAATTTTATTATCAGAACCGCTCTCTATTGATTCGGAATGACCCGCTCTTGGTCAATCCCTTGTAGGGGCACTGGGGAGATGAAGACAACTTGCAGGCTGCTGCAGGGATGTGCTCTGTCATGTCAGGCCGCAATGCCAAGATGCAAGAATACAGCGCTTCACTCACATAACAGTGCAGATGCACCTGGGGATAGGCAAACAGCAGGGGTCTCTGCTGTGCACAAAGTAAAAAAAAAACCGAACCCCACAAGTCCCCAAGGTGCTTGGGCAATCGGGCTACAGCCTGGCAAATCCCAGCCAGGTCTGACTAAGCACAGAGATCGGGCCTGAACCAGCAATTCCTGTACCACCATAACACAGGTCCTTTATATTCTCAGCTTTTCCGCTGGATCTGCAGTCAGCCTACTTTAAGAGCTCAAAAAAGCTAGATATTCAAAAACACACTCTCAGCTATGACCCTCCTAATGTTCCAATACTTTTAAGAAGTGTAGGTGTTAAGGGAGGGGGCAGGAAACACTGTCCTCAAATCAAAGTCAGGCTCGTGTGGGTAATTGACATGAAAAAAGTGCATAACAAGTATGTTGTGTGCCTCCAGCAAGCACCAAGAGAAGATATACAGAAGACTATATACAGTAATTCCTTGCATGTGGCACAGCAGGATCTGCTTATAGTTAGACACACAAAATGTGGTAAGTCCTTGACATACATCTGTAGCACAGTAATGAGCAACACTTGAGTCGAAACCCACTTGAAGACTACATGCTGAAAAGCTTCCTAGATGAATAGGAAAGGACTTGTTAATTATCTGTTTTGCCAACGAGAAGCAAAATGACTCTTGTGAAAGCCTATGTCATTATCTCTTTAATGTGTCCAAGCACAGGTTCCTGTGGTACTCAAGAGGATGACCTTCGTAGGGCCTGCGTCGTGGGGCACACAGCCCTGCTCTGTCCGACTGCTCATTTGAAGCCCCATCCTGCTATTTTCACCTTGTCCTCATCTCTGCAGACTTTACAGAAGTATCTCAGATACTTTGGTATCCAGAAGTTCAAGTCAGTAGCTGCGTCAGCATGTGTAGGCTGCAAAGGAAAAGGTGAGGATTTATTCCATGCTGAAAGGAAAAGAAGAGAGACAATATTTTGGCTGTGGAGCCTTCTTCAGGTGCCACACCTGCCGAAACGCTGCGTCTCTTTTTTTCTTTTCAGCATCAAATAAACCTTTACCCTGTTACTTTGGTATCCTACAGTATCAGACCGCAAAGGAAAGAGAGCTCAATTCAAGAATGTATGGTCACGCCAAAACAGTGTTACACGCCGAAACACTGAACGCACATATTGCCATCTAGAACAAAGAGGCTTTTTTAAAAACAATATTGTTTTTCCTCAGTGCGTAAACTGCTGCGGGCAGGACAGTAACTGTGCCTGGTATTATCTCCCCCTGTGAGTCCCAGCCACTTAACGAATATAACACTTAGCAGACTGGCACAGATAATCCTGATGAAATGATCCCAAGGCTGCTGTAACTAGCTGGGAATGCTGATCGCTTAATTCAAGTGTCTGCTCCTTTCCCTGCACTGAAGCTGGCACGAGATGTGTGTGGAGCCCAAAAAGAATGAACGAGATCAGCACAGTTAAGCACAGGATAGGTGAATGTTAACTTGTGACGTGCAGGATGACTAGATCAAACACTCTGGGGGTGACAGGGCCCCGTGTTCCCCGTCCGAGATGCCCATCGAGAAGCTGAGAGAGTCGGGGTGGGGTTCGTGCACGCTCACAGGACAGCCAGTGCCTGTGCGTGCGATTTGTCTCCTGGAACCCGGGGCTGATCCTGCCGAGCGATGTGAAATGTAAAAATGTGCCGAGCCAGTTCAAATGTTAATGGAACATCGAAAATCCCCTGCTTAGCAAGCAGGTTGGGGAACAAAAGCACCATAGAGCAGCAGCTTGCGGTGCCTGAACATGACAAATGCTGGAGTGAAAGGGGAGGCAGGGGGTAGGCACTGTCCCAGGGTGGAGGGGAGTGTGGTTTGGGAATGGATAACCTGACCCTCATTAAACAGAAAAGCACAGTGATGGGGGTGCCATCATCAGCATTTCAAAGGAATGGGGCCAGGGAGAGAAGATAGCCGGTCCCCTCCTCTTTCACTCCCACCTCCCACCGAGCCCACCTTTACCACAGGGTGACTCTTTGTGCTCTTCAGGAATGCAGAGCTGCAGTGGGCAGGCAGCACAGCCTGTTACTGAACTTAACGCCTGCCTTCTAAAAAAAAAGACATCCCCGTGTTGGACCAAAGAAATAACAGCAAACCATTCCCAAAAACGGATTACACATCAGGCTTCAGGAGAAGTTTGTATCTGAAATGTCAAGCGGCAAGCCAAATCTTTCTGTTATTCGCTGTGTTTTTTTTTTTTTATTCTGACCCTGCACAGATCGCCTCAGTTTCATAATAACATCACTTTATTAACCCTTTACAATTTCTTGCATCAGAGAATTGCATCTATACCTCTGAGCTCATCTAGGCTCTGGTAAAATGGGCACAGGTTGCTACAACTCCACAACGATAAATGCAAAAATTGAACAGAATTATTTATCTAGACGCAAATTGTAAACGGCAGCAGCAGCAGCAGAACAGTTTCCGATATAGGTAACAGATATTGAAGATATGCAGAGGTCCAGCCAGGACAGGGTCAAGCAGACTTCAGCTACTCTGGTTTTCCAGCAGGGAACAGTGCTGGGAGAGTGCCATTGTTGCAGTGATAGCCAGCTCATCCATAACTCGGAAACTACAACTGCTTACAGACTCCGAGATAATATGTCAAAATGTTGCACGTGCCATCATGCAACTGCGAAGAGACATCTCATTTTTTAATCCCCCAGCAAGGTGTTTAATCATTGTGGTGCACACCAAATCTGATTAACGCCAAGCATGTTCAGCATTGTAAATTAAAAGTCGCACTGCAAAATTGCATTTCTGAAAATGAGGTCTGCCCACCCCACTGTATAAACAAGATGTGCCTGATCTATCTGATAAGAAACTTTGCATAAACTGATTGTTAAAACAGGGGACTGTGAGAAAACTGTTCTCCTAAGAGATACTGGTAACAATAAAAACAAGCACCTTTTGTCGCAGTTTCCTTTGTTGTCACTGATCTGTTCAAGCTACTGTGAATCACATTTCTTCATAATTTATGAGCTATTCTGAGCAGTACACGGAGTTCGCTGGTGCTTCCATATTGAAAGAGAATCAGAAAGTGCTTGATGTACAGTATAGTCTTTCGAACCCAGCAGTGATACAGATTTATGGACATAAAAATAAGCTCTAAGTAGAAATACAGCTCTAGCAAAACTCTTCAGGGTTTCTTATAATCTCATCTTGAGTTATGAAACCCTGTACAAAAAGAAATGATAAATCAGAACTTAAAACACATAAAAAGACCAACTACCAGAAACAGATTAAGTCGGGAATGTGCTGTCAAACATGAATCATGCTTAAACCATTACAAAGACGGTGCAGTTATCAGCCTTGGACCTTTTCTGGAAAATGCTGCCCTACAGCTACCCTGGAAATTGGACTGAACCACAGCTGGTTGAGACAAGATATAGAGAAGCACAACGCATCTTTTGCAATCATGGCTGTAGTGTTTGAAAACCAAAGGCCACCAGTCTAAGTTCTTGCTGGAAATTAGCAAATAAAAAGCGATCATCCATCCAGCAGTTCCTGAAAAGACACCAAGGTGTCTGGTTTAACAACATGGCTAGGGTGCTTTTCCCACACAACACGCCCTTGTCAGCAAACCCGTGAGCACTGGCGGGTGGTGGTTCAATACAAGCAGATCAGAGCTAGTTTAGTAAACACAAGTGAAGTTAAAGAGCTGCAGTTATGAGCAGGTAAGGATCTCCACCTTGTACGCTCATCAAAATGCAATTTCCATTACAACGAAGAAAAAAAGGGTCATGGGACTTTCTGAAATCTTTTCATTACACCTGAGGAATTAAATTGGCGAGGTTATTTCTCGCATCTCTCCCTGGATTGATCCCACAGCGTCCCCCCGGTCTGCTCTGCAGTGGGTCTGCTGGTGCTTACTAGCCATGCATGCTGCAGGGTGGTGGGGGATACACTTGAGTGAGGAATGAAGTGAGTCCCTTCTCATACGTAATGCCATTTGAGATCCTTTGTCATGAAAAGTACTACGTAAATGCAAAGAATTCTTATCAGAAATTGTTATGCAACCGAACAGAAAAAATAGCACAGCAAATCTGCCCCAGACACGAGATCTGCTTCACTAATGCCCCATCCATGAGAGACTGCTGTTACTGTTAACAGCTGTATTCCACTCTCCTTGCTCCTGTTTCATTCACACTGCTGTAATTATTATTGACCCAGCGTGCCTGGCCAGTGCCATCCGAACCAGGGGCCGCAGTGTGAGCACTTTGGGCATGGAGGATGACTGCTATACAGCCCAGGGACAAGACCGAACTCTGACGGGCTGTTTTTCATCTCCTGACAGTACAAGTCCAACCTTTGCTGGCTGTGGGCTTGCGAGTATAAACCGAAACACCCCCGTGGGATTTCAGCCAAAAAACACAGGCTTCAGTAGTGCTTGTTCGACATTGCAGCTGACACGACGCAGAAGGAGGAAATCGCTGCCCTGCGAAACCTCAGCCTTCTCCCTCAGCAAAAAGCCTCATCCCTTCAAAAAAATGAAGTCGGACAATATTTAACCAGCAGCGATGTGTCATCAATCTAGAGTTCAAGCCTCCCTTTCACTGTTTCCCTGCCATTGTAATTCTCCGTGTGCCCCCACCCACCCACCCCGATTAAAAATTTCGGCTTTTGTTCAACCTTATATCTTCTCCGCCCCCCCACCACCCTTCCCAGAGAAGCAGAAGATGTTACAGCCGGCCGGGCTCCTGGAGAACACCACAAGCCCTCTGCCTGCGAGACTCTCGCCCCCTCCTGCCTCTCCCGGCTGGCTCTTTGATTCAAAAAGAAATCATTTATCCAACTCATCCCGTCTGCGCAGTGCTGCCGAAGAAAAAAATCCTTTTTAAAACCCCTTCTC